CGTGATAGTTGGAAAACTAATGTACCCTGTTTTTGTGTTTTTAGTCAATCTAGGTCGCTTGAGATAAAGAAGGACTACTTATTAAATTTCCCACTATCGGATGGATAGACCTCATGATACATTCGGTACTCTCATTCAGCATGGACTGCAGTTGTTACCTCTCATGTGAATCTTCGGCACCTCCAGTGCGAATCGAACCCAGTTAGAACAAAGTATACTTCCAACATGTTACTACTACGCCACACTGCCATGAGTGACATTTGGTCACGATTCATAATTGAGCTTCGAGTCATCCTAGACTTCTTTATATTACATATTTGCATAGTGAGAATGCCTCTTAATAAGACATGTATTTCCCTGGTTTTTGAATAATTTTTTAGTAGATTGATATTTGAGTACCTTTTACTTTTGTTTAAAGAGGCGAGTGAAAGGGATTCGCAAGTTGGCTTCACTGGAAAATGAAGAGGGATTACCTCGGAGCACTGACTATAGCTTTGTGAGAATAGGTCCTCAGTGGGTAGGTTTGTAGCCGGCTGCCTTTCTTGTCTTCGTGTTTATATGATTTATCGTTAAGCATGGTCTCCTACTTTGATGATGTTCATCACACGACGGTTGAAAGCTTAACAAGGATTTGTCTGGGCAACAGGACGGTGCGCCGAGTACCTTCTCGTACAAATCTACAGTCACAGCTTCTGGTGAGCCTAACCTACTAATCCCTTCCACTCCAATATGTATTTGTCATTACAGTCTCGAAATCCTTCTTAATTCGAATATAAGGATAAGAAGGCTTCCCTGGAAAGTGGTGTAATTGCTTCGATGGCAGTGTTACTTAGCCAAGAGGAATCCGCCGTAGCATTCTGGTGGGATTCACCTTCGAATCACTTCATCACGCAATTTCACTTTAACCAAAAGTGAGCTCAATGAATAGCAAATGGCTAAAAACTACGGGGTCTAGACCACTTGGTGCCTATGTTCGACGTAAAGTGGAACTATGGCTTGTCCAACATAGATCCAGATTCTATGCCAGAGTTGTTGCTGTTATCATCTTTGCTTGGATTCACAACTATCCTTTGGGTCTGTATGGCACCGCAGTGCTGGTAAACCCGTCCTGTGCTGTATCCACCCAGTGGTCACATGCTGCCAGGCTAAAAGTAAAACTTAATGAACAGGTGCTGTATGAAAATGATGGTAGGTGAGTGTGATGATTAGGTGCTCACGAAGGAGGAAGCATAGGTGATTTGAGTGTTTATCTGTCTGGCCAGTTTGCGAATGCTTCACCCTGTTGTCGAGAGCTTGCTAGTCTAAAATCATAGTTGCCATCAGTCGAAATGATAGGATCACAGACAGGATTTTTGCCCCTGAAGGGGAATCTCTCGGCTACAGGGGGTCAAGGGATGGTGCCGTTTCGGCGTAATTTGTCGGCTTACCGTCTGTTCGAGTTGCGCCACATCACCCTCCTGCAGCGAGTCGTCTGGGCCAGGAAAATCCTCGGACACGTGCGGCTACAAGTGGTCGTTGACAGTCTGCGCGACGGCCTGCCCACTCTTTCGCTTCAGCGCCTTTGGAAGTCTCCAATTTGGCGGTCGGCCTCTGTGGGCGCACTTAGTTCGACTTTGACCCGGCCAATTTAACAGATTAATTTGGACACTGTTTTGCGCCAAGACGTCTGGCCACCTCCCGGTCTGTGGTGCACCAACACCTGCCGGACTCGTCATCGCGCAACCATCTGACTCCACATGTTCCGTCAACTCTACCGAGTTCCTCTTTGAGCCAAACAGACCCGCCCACTCTTGTCCCACTTGCAGACCGCCTCCCGGGCTCCACTCAACTCGGCCTTACAACCGCCCAGCTGCCCTGCGTCAGCATTGCCATGTGGGATTTTTCAGTCTCGATGCTGTTGCCAATTCTTCGGCTGACACCGAAGCTTCCACATAGGCCTAATATACGTCCTTCGGTTGAGTAAATGTCCGAGAGCCAGATGGCCTCCTCAGCGGAGAGCAGAGCGTCCTAGTCAGGCACACGGACAGTGACCACCTTACACCTACAGACACAGTGACACGCTTTCGCGCATTTTAGCTGCTCGCGTCAGCCTCTTTGATGCTAACCCGGCTGACAACAACAGTTAGCACAGCGTCCATTTGTGGACACTAATTGCCCCCGTTCGCGATGACAAAGAAGGAGGACACTCTGTCGTTCGTCTGTATCACCTCGACATAATCCCCTCAAACCGGTTGGTCCGGAACACAGTGTAGGACTAACTCCGTCAGGCAGAAGCGCAGGTACAGACCGGAGCAGGCTTGCACCTGCCTGGGTCGGAGTGAGCTGAGCTGACCAAAGGGTCTGATGGTTTCACGTGTGCGGAAGCCCGGCTCAAGTGGTTTTCGCTTCTCTGAAAGTCTATCGTCACCTCTCCGACCCTATCTCCACCCAACTGCCAGATACACATACGCACCGGGGTGCTTCTGTGAGAGAAAAGTGCCGTCAATTCTGCATTGCATCTTCGCCTCGCATTTGCTGGAGATTTGGCCTACCGAAGCATACCGCCCGACGATCCGCCCACCTTTGGTCTACAGCGCCTTTGTCATTGGGCAAGTTGTCGAGCAGAAGCTGGGTCTCGAAGTTTCTGCGATACCGTTTGAAAAAGTGGATTAAAGGGATTTGTAAATCACACCTATTCGATAGCTAAGGAGGAATTTCCTTGGACTAATGGTGAGTTTTTGCAAATCATGCCTCCTGGCTCTGACGATGTCTGTGGGATGATGGAGAATAGTTGTGCATGATTGGACGGCGAGCCGAAGTCTTTGTACAATCAGGCACTCAATCGTCCTTTCGGTATCCGGTGCGGCCAGCTTGCGAGTCCCTGCCAGCCGACTTTTCAAACTAAATGAAAAGCATTCCAGCAAACTGTTCCATCGAATGGAAAGAGACTCACTTGCCACATCCTACATGATTGTCGACATGTCTTGCATGTTGAGACATGACTATCCATTTTGAAGGAAAAGTTGGTTGTAAGCAATTCGTGAAATTGTCTCATCAAAACCGAAGAAGTGCCGCGGAGTGAAGACTGTTGGATTGTGCGATGAAGTCCTCGGCTCACCACCCTGCCATCCCAGTGTACCTGTGCTAAGCTTTCGTCTGTACCGCCGTCAGCATGAGAACAGGAAAACATACTTTACGAACTAGAGCAAAAATATACTAAACCAAGAGAAAAGAGGCCAGCTACAAGCATAGTCACTTTTGTATGCACCTAATCTCGCTATCTTAATAAGGCCTCGAGTTTAGCTAAGTCTATTACATCACCATATTGCATACACACAATAGACAATGGAATATACCCAAACATGAGTCAACATTAAAGATTTATTTGGTCTATTTATCTATGGAGACAGCTGCCACCGAATCCACTTCTGGTTCGTGAAGTATCTCCACTCATCTGCAAGCATGTAGAGTAAGTTTGAGGTATCCAACCATATCAGAAGATGCCTCGTTAAGATCTCAAGGTTAGGTGTATAAAAAAGTGACAAGAGTTGCACCCGTTTCGTACCTTTTTCCTCTATCTTATAAAGTATGAATTCTGCCCGTGATCATGTCTGTCACGGCGGTACAGGTGAAACCTTTGCATGGATTGATTTTGGTCACAGGACGATGAGCTGAGGATTTCGTCGCACAATACAACAGCCTTCACTCCGCGGCAATCCCATTTCGAAGAAAAGTTGGGTTTCGAGGAATCTCTTGTTTCATAAACGTTAAGCTTACTTCGAAGGTCGGTTCCACCAGAAGACGACGGCGGATTCCTCTTGACCAGCTGTCGATTGGCTTT